ATGCCCAAGCAAACCCAAAAACCGCAAGTCGCCACTTCGAATTTCTGGGGTCCATTCTTGATCGGCCTCTCTAGTAGCAGCCCTATGTCATGGGGGTCTCTGGGGTCCCGAAGATTGAGAAGCTTTCATTGAACCTGAGCACAGGGACTGGCCCGGCTGGGTGTTCATTGAGATGGCCTTTGCAGTCTTCCTGGTTGCGGAGATCATCCTGCGCATGTGCTGGCTGGGCTGTGCCGGATACTGGTACTTGAGCTTGATTCGAATTATGCTTTGTATTGTGCATTTAGACTAAACAATGTCTGCGTGCATTTTTTGTTGTTTACTGAGCTTTTGCATCCACACCAGGTGTGGTCCAGAGCGTTCATGGAACTGGCCGCGACCTTAGAAACAATTGGAGGCCAAGATATACATCGTGTAGGAGATTATCCTACTTATGCCTATCTGTCATGAGCAAACTTCAGGATATCGCACTGAAAAGAATGCAGGAATTCAAGCATCATTCAGTGGACATCTTCAGAGTAAAAGTTTCAAGAAATCGGGCCTTGGGCCTTCAGCTCTCTGAGGGCTGGGCAGCTTGAATCTTTAAACTGAAAGTAATACTCCGCATTGTTGGTAAGTACGAAACGAAGTAGTGTAAAAAGTGATGGAAACTACCAAAGTTTCTTATTGTGAGTCACTGCTCAAGGCTGCCTTAGCCGGGAGTGATTGAAGGCTACAAGGACTATTATAAGGGAACCCGAAGGTTCCACTATAGGGATGACTCCTACTCCTACACTTCCTACTGACCAACGGCAATACTCATCTGAGGCATTGTGGGATGGATTTTGCTAGCTTGTCCAAAAAACCTGTTACCGCCTGTTTTGATATTGTTGTAGTTGGGCTGGGCTTCTGCCTTTGTTAAGTTTCGCAAGTCAACGGCTTAGAAGTAAGAAACCACAGCCAAGGTTTGACATATTTTTATTCACAACCGGCGGGTCGGACATCGCCATCCAGCTGTCGGGCGCTCCTTCGGACATCTCCGGCGCCTCGCTGCTGCGATTCTGCCGGCTCATTCGCCTGGTTCGCATTGTGAAGGCCATTGAGGGTGCTCCTGTGATGAGACAGACTTTAGTAGAGGACGCGAGACGGTCTATGAACAAATTGCATGCAGGCTACGAAGGTTGGATTGTAGATAGTTTAGGGGCTGCTGTTCAGTTGAGATGTGACAGCTTCTCTGAAATATGACCGGCCATGAATCCTTGCTCCCGAAAATGCACAGACGACCCAACATTGTGGGCTCAACCAGTTGAGCAGCCCTACTTGCGCTCATCCATCTTGCCGGTTGTTTGGCAAGCCTTGGCTCGTAGATTCCCAAACTTTTCGTCATACATCCTCATAGTTTGTTCCGGAGGACGAGCCGCAGAACTCGGGTGATTATCACAATGTCCTTCTCAACTGTAGTCCTTCTCTTTGACAGAGCACACGTGGAGCTCGAGCTGCAACAGATCACACGTTTTCATGCCCAATCTTGATGCTTCAGTCAGAAATTGCACATTTCACGTTGAAGTCCTAATGTGGTGGCCACTTGTGTCCTTTATGTCAGCACAATACAGACACGTGCAGTTCCCATTGAACATGCAGTGATGAAGGTCTTTCGGGTGAAGTTCATGCGAGACTTGCGCCTAATGGTGAAAGGCTTGCTCGCAGGCACGTGGATGTAGCGTCTGAAAGAAAGCACATGTGAGCCAAAACTGCAGGAAGAGGGATGTACGTGGGCCCATTAAGGGGCGTCAGGCTTTGTAGAATGAGTTGAGGCTTGTGGCGGCGTGGAAGCTGCCAAGGCAAAAAAACGTGCCACGTTCAGGTATGTTGTCTTTCCTCGCCAGCCAACACGAATTCTCTAGTTGTTATGATTTTGAAGCAGCTAATTACTTGCTGAATGTAGACACCGACTGTGTACAAAAATTTCCGAATTTATGAGGACCTTCAGATACATCAGGAAAGCTGGGGTCTCCACTTTACGCGCGTTTGGGCAGGGCAAAATCAAGACGTGGCAGCATGTGGAAGGTCAGGGTCTCTGGAATAACCACTTGGATTGGCAATTTTCCAGGCTCCGCTAGACAAGCCATGTCCCCCGTGCGTGTTCAGGCATCGGGCGATTTCAGTGGGAGTTATCCAGGGCGAGTCTTGGATAGGTCGTATAAAGACCTTGGAAGCCCTGCTTAGACAATTACACGCACTTCCATCTTAAGGTGCCGAGCTCCTGTTGTGGTACCATGCAGCGTGCGTTTCAAATTCTAAGCAAAATGTTACAAGCGGAGGGCTTTGAGTGCAACAGCATTACGTGAACTTTGTTGCTTGGTCGCTCCCAACCTGAGTCAGTGTTGCTGTAAGGCAGTACTAGCCATCCTACTCAGAGTGCCTAGCCTTAGACCATGAACTATATCAAACTCAAAGCACAAGACCCAGATGAACAAACAGGGTGCAAACTCCTGGCACCTAGCCCCTCGCAAGAAAATTCTGAACCATCGAACGCCTTAAGCTCGCAGGTGTGCGTACCCTCCTGCTTGCCTTCATTTTACTCTTCACAGTTTTGTACGTCATTGCGGGCTTCGCTACCATGCCGCTAAGCTCACATTTGGTCAAATGTTCAGCTTGTCTTATCCTATTTTTCCTGTTGCTGCTACTGGAAGTAATACTAGCAGCACGAGAGAAGCGACGATGGTACCGGCAGCAGAGACTAATCACCACATTAGTGCCGATGCTGCTGCCGCAACTATTGATAAGATATTGTTTCTGTCATCCTACTATGCTTGGAGGTCCTTGTCATGAGTGCTTGGGGTTATATAGCGGAGAGGTTCGGGTAAGCTGGGTTTCCTCCCAAGGGCTAGGGAAGTGGGGGGGGAATTCGGAGGTTGGATCTGCGGGATCCTGGCCCTAAAGCAGAGATATTGACGAGTGAAGCTTCTACTACCCCCAAAGCCTTTAGCTGCCGAAGCACCGTCTCCGCTTTGTGGCATGACGTCTACAGGGACGTTTTGTCCAGGTTGTCATGCAGAGATGAAGTTCTGTCCAAGAACAGTGAGCAATCCCAAAAAGAGCTCCTACAGCATGATCGTTGTACAAGTTTGAAGTGGGGAGCGACAATTAAGATAATCTCAGAGACGCCCTATCCAACTTTCTTGCTGCTTTTCTTTTTCAATAGGAACTTTGGGGTAAACGAAGGGGGCGGCGCAAAGGTAGACCACACCATGAGCCTTTGACAAGGCTCGTCAAAGGTTCCCGCCTTCGTCAAAACCCCTTTTCCTTCGTCAAGGTTCGTCAAGGGTTCTGCTTGCTTGACAAGGTTCGTCAAGGGTGGTCTGCGGGTCCGCCCATCGGGAGCCCCCCTCAGTTTTCCTCCTAGGAACTTACATGTCAATGTTGATATTATCATTATTACTATTATTACGTACTATTATTACTACCATTATACCATTATTACTGTTCTTTCTACTGCTACTATTCGTGCTATTGATGCTGTTATTAGCAGGACAGTTGGAAGCGATGAACGAACAGCAGAGATCGGCCTTCTGCAATATTTTGAGCCTTGGAATGGTGGGGGTTTCCCAGAATTGGGGGAGTACCTTTGAAGGGGGATATAGTGTTTTTATAGTGGTATATAGCGGTTATGTAGGGTTTAGGAATTCCCGAAAATTGGGGGTACCATTTTGGGGTTGGCGAGCATGTAGGCTTATCCTGAATCCATCCTCCTGACCCTCTACTGCATATGTTAGTTTCCTGAAAGAATGGTGCCCCAATATAGACCCTGAAACATTATGATCTTGATCATAGGGACCCTCCAAAAAGTACCCCTAATTTGGGAAAACCCCCACATAACCTTTAAAGTCCTTGTCTCAAGAGTTGTCGGGTGCGGCTTATGAGGCCACTTTGGGAAGAAGCTGCAGATGTAGACACACGGTTCAGAGTTTAAGGTTTGGGGACATCCCGATACGATGAATTAAAATGGGGGTTGCCCAAAATTCGGGGTACCTTTTTTGGGGGGAGTCCCCATAGTAATGATTATAACATTTTTGAGGTCTATATTAGGGTCCTCCTATTTATGGAAACTACCAGATGTTGGGGTCAGCCCCTCAATTTTGATATCACCCTCATATGTGACACCTGTACCTACATGATCTTGCAGTCTGGTCAATGTGTGCGCAGCTACGATCCAAAAAGATCAATCCTTTAATGGCCGTTCCCCTGAACACATCCAGACTTACCGGCGTCTAACGGGATTCCTAAGCTTTCTATGATGCTTCATTCACTGCCGCAGCCACATCAAGTACCAGGAAGCAAAGAGCAAATGCTTCTGAAGTCCTCTGAAGCTGATAAAGTCAATCTTCCTTCACTGAAACGCATTGCAACAACGACACCTTCAAGCCTTGCAACTCTGGATCCTGAGCCAAGGACACCATCCCAACCTCTATGTTCACAGCTTTCCGTTGCTTCACAGGCGCCCCGTGGGGCGGGGAGAGGGCAAGAAGGTTTGGGTTCTCTGAGAAGCCTTTTCAAAGGATTCGTTGTGCTGGCAACTAGTACAACAATTCTCCTGTTTGCTTGACGGGCATTTGAAAGGCTGCGTGCTTGAGATTGTAAGCCTCTGTCCGAAGACTGGTGCTGAAGGCAACGTATACAAATAAACTGGCCGTATCAGCGAAAAAGGGAAGCACGAGGGCGAGAAAAGAAGGGCTGGAAAATTTTCAAGCATCTTAAACACCAGAAATGTGGACTTAAAGAATTATGCACTACGTGCTTGTTGGCCTGTCAGGTTATACGTCAGGGCTTTTGCTAAAATCAGAAGTATCGATCTGACTGACCAGTTGCTTCAGGTGAATGCATTAGCGATGATGGCCGGCCTCTGCAAAGCCACTTCCTGCGCAAGAACAATTATTTTCTTGTCCATGGATGCTTTAGCATACCCCTGAACCCGAAACCCTGAAGTTCTTAAAGATCTTCAAGATCCAAGCCAAGAATCCATGCCCGAAGGCTTGCTCACCTCTGAGTACGGTCTGCCCTTCATCATCGGGTATGTCAGCAGTTACATGCTTGTGACGATGGGAATTTTCAATGTCATCCTCGCAGTGTATGCGGCTCGTGCAGATTTATGCGGGGACTCGAATCAGTGTATGTGGACCGCGTGTTGTTGTTTGTTGTTTGGTCTTTTTTGTTGCTGTGCCGTGCACATTGAACCTGTGCAGCCCAGCAAGTGAGTAAACACCTATTTCGCGCACCAACAGCAAACCCAGCATGCCCCACCGCCCCCAACAAAAAGCACCGACAGCAAAAACATGAACATGCCTCCCCCACCCCCTGCGGAATGGCAAAAACAAACATCCAGACGGCAGTCGCACAGATGCCGAAGTACAGAAAAAGGCTGTGTGATCTACGGTGATACTTGAGCCCCCCGGAAGCATGCTGGCAGCTACAGGATTTCAGGTTAAAAGATAGTATGGAATCCTCAAAAAACAATGAAAAATGGTGTTCCAGGCCATCAAACCCTGCAGAAATCATGGTTCTGCTTTTTGATCATTTTATCATTATTATGTTTGGGTGGAGGGCGTGTTTCTGTTGGGGCCGGGCTGCGCTGCTTAAAAACAAAGAATGTCTCATTGTCATTGTACACACCATGGATAAGTTGCAGCAACCCCTACTAAATTGCTTATGGCATGCCAGACTATCAAAGTTAAACCTTTGGAGCAAATTCCATCCATGGAAGTGAAAAGTTATGGTCTAAACCGTTTAAGCTTCTGGGTTCTGGAAGTCTGGCACCATTTTTCTGGTCATACTGGGTTTCGTGTTATGAGACCTCAGTTGTTCTGCTCCCCCTTCTTATGACTAATGCTACTTTGACCTAGCTTTTAACCTGTGAGTCATTATTGAACGGTCAGTGCAGGTGGACATCACCATGAAGGCCGCCAAAGAAAGCGACGCGATGAATGCAGAGCAGCACGCGCGCGAGTCCATCCGTGTGGCCCGAACCACCCGCGAATTGCTCAAGATTTTCAGTGCCGCTTACCACTCCTTCCGGGAACACCAGAGTGGAGATGACGAACCCATGAGGCTATGTCTCAAGATGGGGTTTCCCAAAATTTGAAAGCTGGCTGTTGGATGTCCTGCATGCATATGTCCCTGATATAGAGATCCCACAAGGAGATTACAATGCCTTGGGGTTTCCTAAACAAGGGCTATCATTTTGGGGGTCCCTATCTATAGGGAGCACTATAGTATTTTGGGGTCTATACTGGGGTCCCATTATTTGGAAAGTACCAAATATAAACTTCCCTTTCACAAAGTTGGAGATGACAGGACCTCACTAGGAAGAACTCTCAACTAGAAACTCGCGCACAATCCCAGATAGTCCCAGACGCACTTCCGATATGAAGCGCATGTGATCAACAGGTCGTGCTCAATCAAAAACCCTCACCCTCTAAGCTGTTGAACTCGGAACTTATATTGGCCTAGTTTGCCAAACCAGGTTGCATTCCGTAAACTGGATTACTGGGTGTTGTACTATGATTAGTACACAACAAGGGCCTATGCCTTCGAGAACATCTGCATATTTTAGTCATTTTCCCTGCGAGAAGCCCGTCCGCCGCCAACTTTATGGAGCCGATCCGGTCCGCATCCGCTGCCAACTTCATAGAAGATGGCGGGCAAGACCAGGCGGGCAGCCGTGTGGGGATTTGTCAACATTTTCAAGCCTTTACTCACTGGGTGTTAGTATGGAATTGGGGAATGTAATCCCTATATGCTATGTTCCCTTCTTCCCTACTGAATCAACCACCAGTAAGCTTATGGATTCTAGGGAGAGATAGATCTTATAAAGGGGTCCCAGTTGAGGCGTTTTATATTTGTTGTTGAAAACTCCGATGTTTGAAGCTCGTCTGTCTGTTTTGTCGGTATCCCCAAAGAAAGGATCCTAGATTCCTCCAGGGGCGAATGGTGTGTATGTTGATGTTGGCCACGGTGGTCGGATAGTATTCGCCATGCATAGTGTCCCATTAGCAGTAGGACTTGTAGTAAAAGCGTGAGTGACAGAATCATAGGGCCTAGTCCCTTTCATTGCTCCTGGAGGTGCAGCCTTGGGAGGGTTGATGACTGGATCCTCAACAGCTTAGGTAGTAGTATATCGCTGGGATGCCGGCAGGTGGAACAGTCCGCCCTTCATGTCTCATGCTGTGAGCCTAGACCTTTTCTTCCATAAATGTGTGACAGAGTGGGAGAAAATCCACAAGAGGTCTGCAACCTTCAAGTATGAGGATAGTCCTGGTGGGGTGGCTTCATGTACGGATGCTCAGACTGCGGGGGGACCTCAGGCTTGCACACATCCCACAACACGAAGCAGCACAAACCCCAGGTTGCCATCACCAAGGAGCTTTTCTTGCTGATTGTCCAGGACAATCAAGTTCAGATGCTACATCCGCAGTGTTCTGTATCAACGATGACAGTTCAATCTTGCATTAGCAGCAGTACTACAGCACTGTGCTGCGGCCACCACTGCCACCACTTACCGCCGGGACTGAAATTAACACTACCGCTGCTAGAGCTACAACTGCAACTCCACGTACTACTAAGTACAACGATTTCTTTTACCACAGCTTGTGCATGTTTGGCAGCATGAGCTGAGAGAAGATCATGTTCGTAGTAGCTGCTGACGGTGCTGTCTGGTTGCTCCCTGTGCTTGGGTGGATCCCATGACAAACTGCCAGGTTGGCATTGTGACGTACATACATGGACATATGTTTATACATATATACGTGCAAAACTATTTGAATCTTTAATACTGCTTAGTCTTCGTAGAATGGGCATGGAGCACCGTCACTTACAATCACTTTTGTAATCCTTGCGGTTTCCCGCAACGAACGCGTCAGGCGGGGACCAGGATACTTCCGACCCTGAGCCAAGGAAGCTCATGGATGATTTGGACTTGCCTCCAGACCGCGCCAACCTCTTTGAAATGCTTCTACGTTGCAAGAGATTGCTGTTACAAGTGAGGGCTATGCAGGCTCGCGGTGGCCAGCCTAAGGCAAAGACAGCTTGAGAGTTTTGCAAGTTTGGGGTTTGTTGAAGGTGAGAGGACCACGGGCACAGCTAGAACTCGTGAATCACGAAAGATTCAGGTATTTTCGGTAGGACAGGCTCCATTCGGCCCAGCCCTAGGTGTCTTTGTGCTCTTGGCCCCTGTTGTTGGAGCTTAGATCCAAGCTGCTCAGGATCGTTTCAAAGCACATGACACAAAGGTTGGTCTGAGCAAGATGCCTATGTTGTTCCCAGAACAGCGCAGAAGATGCGCCACAACTTTGATGCCCATGTTGCTTCGTGTTTCTCGTTGATACAATACCAGGCAGGGCATGGGGCAGAGAACAGAATGAAAATTCATGCCCCTCTCCGAACTTGTTTAACTTGCAGAAGCAAATATCCCTCAGCCTTAGTCCTAAACAATCGGTTCATCTTGTTAGGAACCTGTAGTCCTCACAAAGGTTTGCCTTCTAGTTGAGGGCTCTCTAGCGTGAGAGTCTGTGTGATCTGAGTTTTCTGTTGAGATAGGAAACTGCATTGAAAGCAGAGCTTGCCTCCCTGAGGTCCTGCAGCACTCCCCCTACTGTATCAGGCTGCCGGGATGAGAGTTTCCAATTCCATGATCTCAAAATCTGTTGCTGCAAACCTTCCACCTCTCAACCACTGCCCCCAACCACTACGTGACGCAACAACCGCTGGAGCTTGACTGTCAAAAATCCCGTGTGTGATTGACACAGCATTCATGACGACAGTGTGCTGGATAAACCTATGCACAACCAGAAAGGCTAGAAGTATCTGCGGTCTTCCTCTTTTCATGTGGCTTTTCTGCACACCGATCAAACGCCCAAATGCGCAGCAATCCCATATGAATGAGATCCGGATCATCCATGACATGCCTTTACCAAAAGACCTTGGCCATAAATCGCAGCCCACAGGGTTAAGGCCCAGCCTTACACTAGACCGTATACTCCAAATTCAAAGCTGCCAAGGTTGGATGCCGATGGCAGTGGCACGCTACAAACTACCGAACTGCTGCAGGGCCTTTTAAAGGTCCGTGGCGAGGTACGCGGAGTACGCAAGTCGTTCGCTTCACGATTTAGATTCTCCAGTCCTAGACAAGTCTTCAAGATCTGATAGCAGGACCGGCACTTGTGTTAGTAGACCCACCATTTTTTGTGAGTTGAGCGCATTAATTATCCAAATCAGAGCTTCGGAGTTGACTAACAGCTATTAGCATCTCGGTTTGGGTGAATGTTGTGGAGCAATTCCGTTTGCGCGCTGAAGCATCCTGATTTGCATGGACAGCTGTGTAGGGGCAGCGCACATGCGTCCTCCGTCAGGTGTAGAGATGCCATCCCCTCCCGCTTCAATGTGAGGGCGTTTGCCAAAAAAAACTTTTAGATTCAATCGTGGAGGTTAATGGCCAGGTCACTGCTGGCTACACGGTTTTTTTCATGTGAAGCAGGCGAGTGACGAAACACTTTTTAAGAAGCATCTGAACAACCAACCAAATTCATGGCTGCGGTGCGAGTAGAGGCGTGAAGGTTTTGAGACGCCAAGCCGTAATCATGCCGCTTAGGGCAACCAGTCTCACTGTCTTTGCCTGGGGATGATGAAAAGATTTTGGGGAATCCCTATTGGGGATCTATAGGGGCCATTGAGATAAACTTAAATAAGCAAAACTTAGCAAAATCCTAAACCTACATCTTAGCTCCCGAAACTTGAGCCCTCACAACTCGAATCCCTGACTCTTCAATAGGTGAACAAGAGCGACACGGTGGCATCATTGCTGGCTACAAAGGCTGTCCAGAATCTGGTCACCGACCTCAAGGATGAGTTTTTGGGATCTTGGAGGGTTGGGTTGAAGAGACTATGGGCCTTTGTTGAAGGTTTGCTGAGATGTGTACCATACTCCATCAGGTAAGTCCATCTTGTTCCCAGAAGCATGGTGTTTATTCGGGTTCTTGCTGCAACGTGGGCCTCATGCTTATCGAAGCAGATGTTGTGTGCCATGGGCCCTAACAGGCGTGTAGGAGTTCTTGTTACAAGTAGGAACGCAGTGCAACCGCATTGTCTTGGCGGTACTATCCAATCATTTCCAGCTCAAACATGAAGGGGGTTCATCGCTGGAGATTCAGTTAATGATTCTGACAGGGAGGCATTAAGCAAAGAGCTTTCTGCATATAGCCTACCATCCCATAGCCCTGACCGCGTAACCCGGTCCAGACAATGTGAAGGACCAGCAAGCCACACAGATCAAGGTACTGAACCAGTGCCTTTGAGCAATCCTGTGCTTGTGGCTAGATCATATGACCGGGCGTCAGGCTGGGGATCAGGATGACAGGGCTGCCCTTTTGCGCGGCTTGAACTGCTTCAAGAGTCTATCGAGAGGTATAAGGTGGTATTAGCGGGTTTCTGATTTGTTTTGTTGACGGGACTGAGCATCACTCATTTGTCAGTTCAACTCGACGGACCCGGCTGCAGGACGATCTTCGTTCCTGAGTGTTCTCCCATATCATGAGTTCGCCTTGGGTGTCCCTGATGTCCTGTTTGTGATGAGGGATCGTGAAGCTGGGGGCAGGTATTGAATTTTGCAGCGGCAATGTGAGGGTAGGAACTAGGGCAAAACCACTGCTTCGTCCTCCGAAAGGCCATACAATGCCCCGTCCTGGCCCAGTATGAACGCCCAGGACACAACCCAGCAGATAGCTGAATACCTCCAAGACCCCAAATGCCTCAACCCCATGTTCCTCTTTTTGGTAACTCTTATAAGTTATAAGTATGACTGGAACGAGAGCGGTGTTCGAGCAACAGTAGTCATTGCATGAATGCAGTAGCAGCCGCAGCAGTAAAAACAGAACCCTTCTTCGAGAGACCTCATACAAGGAACTCAAAATGTCAAAGCCCCGCTTGAAGACTACTAAAGCCCAACAGACTTGAGAAGCTTCACGTTGCCTTTCCAAGGACAATCTCACAGGTGCAGTCCCTGAGGGCAGAAGTTGGGCGCATAGTTGCGCCCCAGCGCCAGAGCCAAATCATCCGTCAGCGGTCAAACGACAGCTCACCCCTTCCAGCTCCGCCAAGGCAAACTGTGGGGCAGGGGCGGGTGCCTGGGGATGTAGGGCTTCGGCAGTTTGCGCTTTTGAGTGGTGGTCACGGCACGGAGATCATTGTCAGCCAGATCAAAAGTTCAGTTGAAGTGCAAAGAAGCTGTCCTGTGACCTTGTTGAGGGATCCCTTCTTGCAACACCTCAGGAGGCCTTCTCCCCTCCGAAAGGATCAGCTTGGTTTGAAGCATACCAAAAGGATTAGACTTCTGAGAAGGAGCTGCGCCTCTCAAGAATCGCATTTGCCACAGATGGCGGCTTCCATGTACCACACTTCCCGTACAGACCATGGTCTGCGCGTTCCGGTAGATGCTCACCTCCACCCCCTTTCACCTCCAACATATCCCTCCTTCAAGCCGGGGATGTTTCAAGGTTCAGTGACGACCCTTGCTTCCACCACATCTTTGCTATACAGGAGAACCCCACATTAGTCTGCCCCCAAAAGCGATACAAGCTGCTTATTGAGACTCCGGACCCTGCAGCGGGACCTGCATTTATGAGAGTTTTGATGGTCAAGCCTACAATCCCAAATCTACCTGAAGAGGGCACAATCCCCAGACTTCAAAATCGGAACCGAAGAGCCCTAGGCCCAAAATTCCTGAAACCCATTGTGCCTTCATCCCAAAGCCCAAAAGCTAGGAAACCTGGCACACAAACCCTGCCCAACCCAATCAGGAGTATCAACCGAGACTCTCGCATCTCCAGCAAAGTTTTCGGCGTCGTGGCTACCGCGCAGCCAGAGGAGCCTCTGAGTCTAGCTGAACCCGACTCTCCTTAGGAGGTCTCGTTCGGCTGTGTCTCCGTAGACCCATGAAAACTCAAAAGGTCTTAAGCAGAGTTCGTCAAGCTTTCGTTGATACTGTTTTTATCTAAGCTTTTGCTGCCTCGTTCTTGAGCCTGACAATCTTATAAGGGAGAAGGAAAATCTTGTCCTCCCACAAATTTGAACAAACACCTCGCAATGCAGAGTCTAAGGCGTGCACTTCTGTTCCATCACTTTCGGCCAATGGTGGGTCAAGCCCACCAATGGGTTGCAGAGCCACCCACAGAGTTTCACCAGGACACTGCCCTTCTATACTTCAAAGCTAGAGCACTTCAAAACAGCTAGTGTATTTACAAGGTGCCAAGAAGAGTACATCCGGCATGTGACCTTAGTCTGCGCGTTGCCTCACATTTGGCTTGATCTGAGGCCTTGGGAGCAGGTCCTAATATGATGGGTCCCTACGTCACAATACTGGAACTGTGGAGCCTTTACTTTGGGGAAGCCACATTATCTTGTTGGGGTCGGGGCCGGCTTGATGCATGACCATGCACTGGAAATCCTTTCACGTAGACAACGGAGACCATGGTTTTGAGACCTGTCCGTCGAAGGTAGGGCGCTGGGGATGGGCAGACTTCCCTCCCATTCGTCTCTGTACAACATAGAAATACGCCAGAATTGCATGGGAAATTGATGGGGAGGTAGGACATAAGCAATGGTTAGGAAGGTTGGAATCGTCCCCATGAGAGTCCCTGCAAGCAAGGCAGTTTTAATGTCGATTTTCGCAATGAGCCGCCGCCGAAAAAGTTTGCGTTGCATTGTTTGCATGTAAGCTGTAGCCCAAACAGGGTCGCCGTTGCCAAGGTGAACAGGCACATGTTTCCGTCAGTGAGAAACACCGACAAGTTGAGGTTCAGGGCTGGCTTAGGCCTGCAAATACTGTTTCAGGGTTTTCGAGTATAGGAGCTCTGTCATGGATCTCAGATCCAACCATATCCTATGAGTTCAATTCCTGGCTTGAGTTGTTGGATCGTCTAGTAGAACTGGAGCACTCCACCCCCCTCGTCAGAAGAAGGCAACGCTGCGCACTGACATTAGGCGGGAGGATATGAGGGATGCAAGACCTTGCTCAGGATAAAGAGTATCAGCGGAATTTTCTAAGCTTCCGTGGATTCTTCTGGTAAGTATAAGGAGGGACCTTTGGCTAGTGCACTGCGCAGTCATGGTCTCAGCCTGAAGAAATAGGATTCTGTCTGCATATGGATTACATGACATATATGTGTGTATATGCAGAAAAATTTGCTTCCATAAAACAGAGCGGCCACTTCTTCCGCCCCTTTCGTTCGCGAGCGCCTGGCCTAGCTTTTTCCCGCGCGCAATGGTTTGGCCTCTTAGGCCCTCTAAAATTCCGGAAAAACACAGCCTCTCGAAGAAGCTAGAGGTTCAAACATGTTAGACATTTTTGGACGAGCACAGCTCACGAAACTTCAGGAATCGTTGTTCGCCCTCCCCCTTCCCGCTCCCCAATTAGTATTACCCTCTATCGTGTTTCATGTTTTGAGGGTCAGCTGGCACGTGTAAGAGGCGTGGGAGAATTCTGTATGGTTCTTGCTGTGAAGTTGACCATACTGGGCAAGCGCTGGTCTGATGTATTTGCAGTGAACAGCACCGACTTCATGAAGGTTGGCCGCGCATGCCTTGGAGCTTTGATGCTTCAAGTTGCCATTTTAAGACAATGGTCCTACAATTTGCAATCCTGCAAGGGGTGTCTTTGCGTTTTGGGATGGAAGTCGAATCGCTGGTTTTCCAACTCCTGGCCCAATACTGACGTTGAAATGCGTACCTGACTGCTCGAACGCTGCTTAGAGATTTGTCCGGGTTTTGATATGAGATAGAACGTTGCGACTTTTCGATATTCCGATTCAGATTTCATGGGTTCTTGTGAGAAACAGAAAGAATTGTGCACCTGCAGGCCGGCGTTAGGCGCATACGAGACTGCTGTAGAACCACCCAGCATCCTTGCTGGTTCGGGCGTTAATTGCGGGCTTGAGAACTCTTCGCAATTTTGCATACCCAAATTGATGATTACAATTTTTTGAATTCCTGCACGAATGGAAAACGGGACGGCGAACCTAAATCTTTCATAATGTATAGGTTGGCCGTGTCTGTTAACGGAGATTTATGCGATCCCCTGAGCCGACGCTCTAAAATCTTTCAGAATCTATTAGGTTGGCCATTTTTTTTGTCACGTGCGGTCTTATGCATTGATTGTTCGTCGAGATTCACGTGCGATCTTATATGTTTCGCATGATTTATCTCTCTTTGGTTGTCGGCGCGGCTGTTCGGAGGAGCGCTTAGACCCGGGACGGAGAACCAAAATCCTTTAGAATTTACAGGTTGGTCGTGTCTGTTCACGGAGATTATGCGCTCCCCCGAGCCACCGCGCAGATAGCCCAAGAGAGATAAATGAGGCGGAAAGACCGGACTGGATGCGGGGGCCGCGCGATCAAAGGGCCGCGTGACCAAAAATCTTCCAAGACTTCGAGCTATTTCTCTCTTTTTGGCTGTCTGCGCAGCGGCTCGGTGGAACGCGACGGCCCGGGACGGAGATCTAAAATCTTTCAGAATCTATATGGCACGTGCGGCCTTGAAATCTTGATACTTCATTGGGTTTCACGTACGAGCTTATAAATTATTTGGTCATCGGATTTTCCGTTATAGATTTTCTCGAATACATATTTTCCGTTGTTGAATGCAGCGGACCCATTTTAATTATTTTAAATCTTATAATATGATAGAGAATATAGAATTCTAGAATGTTTCATTTAAATTAAGTTGGAAATCGAATCTTTGGGATTTCGATTTTTTGATAATTTCTTCGACGCTATAATATGAGATATCATTTGATCGCCGAGGATTAGATTACTATTAAGAGATTCAATTGAAAAATCCGTATTTGGATTA